AAGAGGGTAAAAGACTTTGGGGTAAAGAGGCCACCGTGCCAGCCACACCTGGCACCTCATTTCTGCCACGAAAAGCTGGGAAATGTTAAATTTAAAAAAAATCCCTGGGTGTGAGGAGTGCAGTGGAGAGATYCCTCCTTTCTGGCGTTGTATTCCTGTCCCCTCTCCACAAATCAGGGTTATTTCCTCAGTTCTGGCCCCAAATGAGCACCAGGGAGAGGCTGCCATGCCTGAGGTGCCACTGCCCAGTTTGGGGATGGATTTTGCTGTGAATTAACACCAAGACACAACTCCATGTCCCCTCTGCTTCATTCATCTGCACCCTAAATAAAGAGGGACCCCAAAAAGCCCTGCCAAGTTCTTGCCCAAGTCCTAAAGCCTAAATCTGGCTGAAGTGACAGAGTTTAATCCCTCAGCTCTGTTTTAAACACCCACATCACCCCCCAGCCCCGGCAGGGACATCTCAGCTGATGAAATGAGCCCTCAATCTGCTTACACAGCCCTTTAACGGGGGGGGCCTGGCCCATCTCATCTCCCTTAACTCATCTCATCATTGGTCCGTGGAGAAAGTTTTGGGGATTGTTGGATTTGTAAATCCTTCAGCCAAAAATTCGATTTCAATAGGGGCCACTACAGCAGAATTATTACATTTACCTATTTCCTGATCTATTTATTTATTTATCTATTTTTTTTCCCCCAGTTTCAGGAGAGGCCACTGCAACCGAATGATTCCACTTACCTATTTACTGATTTCTTTATTTCTTTATTTCTTTATTTCTTTATTTATTTATTTATTCCTGATTTCAGGTGGGGCCACTGCAAAAATATTATTCCATTTACCTATTTATTGATTTATTTATCTATGTATTTATTTACTTAGGGTGATATATGATATATGATATATATTATGTATTATATATTACATATCATGTATTATGGAATATCGCATAATATATGATATATAATATATAATATATGATATATAATATATAATATATGATATATAATATATAATATATGATATATAATATATAATATATGATATATAATATATAATATATAAGATATAACATAAAACATATAATATATAGTATATAACATATAGCATAAAACATATAATATATTATATAGTATATATAATACAACATATATAACATATAACATACAATATACAATATATAATATATAATAAATATATAGTATATAATATTAATAGATAATAGATAATATATAACAGATAATAGATAATAGATAKATAATATATAGGATTGTAACAGACGATATAAATACGAATATAATACATAAAATACAGATAAAAATGTACAAATTGTTAATATATATAAATATATCTTGCTGATGGGTCTGTGCACACACACTGCAGCACTAACCGAAGTTGTGGGTGTCTCTAACAGGGCACAAAACGCTCCCTTCTCTTTTCCCGCTGGCCCGGGCAGCTCTCCGAGCCCCCTCCCCAATTTGKGCCGGGCACGGAGCCCCCTCTGCCCGCTGCCCACGGGCACGGCCACCCAACCCGGGAGCCGCGCGTTCATGAAAGGCCGCCGCTTGCCATTTCTATTCTTTTACAGCTTTTTTTCCCCCATCTATTTACCATTTACMAGCTCATCCATATGGAAGGCATGGCTTACACTTCGCTGAGAACTGTACTTTTAGGACTAATTGATTGGGGTAATTAATTTGTTCTACCTGCTGGATCAGATGGAAACGCTGTCCGTGTGCCCAAGGATTAGCACTTGTCTTTCTAACATCTTTCTTAATTATCTAATAGCATGGGTTGTGCGAATTCTGCCTCTATTAGAACACTTTTACTATTAACGGTAGTGATTGGAATTGTGATGACAACTCGATTTCAACAAATTAGGGCTTAAAATCGGGAGATGAAGGAGAAGCGCCTTCTTTTAATTTCCCTGAGTTTAACATCAATAATTAGAGCAATTTTCCGAGATGCGAACCGAAATTATCTCGGCTATGATGTGGTGTATCACCCTCATTTGAGCAAATTGACTCCGGGGAAATGAATGGCGCAGATTAGGGGGGTGAAGAAGGGGAAAAAAAAAATACAAACAGAGGAAAGACCCAAAAAAAAAAAGTGTTGGCGCAACGGAGAGCGGGGAAGGGATGGGAACAAAACCCTGAGCGGGAAGGGAGAAGCTGCGTGCGCGGGGACGGGCTGGGAGCGTGGGAAAGAGCCGCCGGTTGATTTTCCCCAAGTTTTTATTTTATAAAAAAAAGAGAAAAAGTAGGAGAAACCCCCGCGTTTGGGAAAACTGAGCGGGGCTGAGCGCTGGTGCGGAGCGGTGCGCGGGGAAGGCTGAGCGGCTGCGGAGCGGGTGCGGAGCGGCTCCAGAGCGGCTCCAGAGCGGCTGGTCGCCCCCTCCTCGCCCCCGGGGTGGTTTGGGTGGCCCGGCAGGCCCGTCCCCCCCCCGCTCGCCATTGGCTCAGCGCGCATCCCCCTTCCCAGCGCGCCTCAAAGGCGCGCAGCGCCCCGCGCATCCCCGACCCGCCCGCCTCGCCTCCCCTGCCTCCGCCACTTTATTTCTGGCTGGGGGATAGATTTTTTCTTGAAATTATTATCTTGATTTATTTTAACCGCGGGATTTTTTTTTTAATCGTTATTTATTTATTTTTATCATTATTTTATTCTCCTCCCTGCCGGCCCGGGGGTGCAGCCGGCCGCCCCCTCTGTCCCCTCCCGCAGCTCAGCGCGGTTCCCTCCCTTCCCCGCTGCCCGAGGGGGACGGAGCCGAGATGAACCTCAACTTCACATCGCCCGTGCACCCCGTGTCCACGGCCAGGCCCACGTCGTTCTTCATCGAGGACATCCTGCTGCACAAGCCCAAACCCCTGCGGGAGGTGCCCCCCGAGCACTTCCCCGGCTCCTTGGCCTCCCGCGTGCCCCTCCTGGACTATGGGTACCCCCTGATGCCAACCCCGGCCCTGCTGGCGCCTCACCCGCACCCTGCCCTGCACAAGCCGGAGCATCACCACCACCACCACCCCTATTTCCTCACCGCCTCGGGTAAGTGCGGGGGGCACCCRCCGAGTTTGGGGCGGCCGGGTGGGGACAGGAGTGAAAGAGCCGCTCTGGGGCGGACAAACATCTCTGTACCTCCCTCGCATCCCTGGCTGCATCCCCCGGGGCAGACACTTCGTTAGCCGGTGCCCAAAATCCTGACAGTTTTTCCCTTTAGTTTAATTTTTTAAAATCRCTTTTGGTTTTGGGAGCGWTAACCTCGCTTTTTCCTCGCGTTMTTCAATCGSGTTTTGCTTTYCCACCTCCGGCAGCGCCACTGGGGCTCCTCTCCCTCATCCCGGGGCTCTGCCCGTCCCCGGGCCCATTCCTTGCTCTGCGAGGAGAAAACCTCCAAAGTTTCCCAAACCGAGCATCAGCGGGGCTGTACAGGATTCCCTTCCTCCTCCCAGCCTTTTCCGGGGCTCTCCCGGATTTTTCCGTGCCCATTTCGTTGTGGTTTCACCCCGGCAGCCTCGGGTCCCTCCGGTGGCAGCGCTGCCCGGGTTCCCTTCACCTTCCCGGGGTGGGCACGGCGGGAGCGAATGTTTGGAAAATCCTCCCGTTTTCATCACAACAAAACCCCCAACCCCAAACCAACAAACCGACCTCAAAAACGAAATAAACGAAAAAAAAACCCAAAAAAATTAAAAGAGGCTGGGGGAGAGCTCACTCCGAGCCGCCGCAGGAAAAATCCGGCATTCCCGGGGGTTCCCCTCGGATCCATCTCCCTGCCCCCCGTGTCCCCCCAGGAATGCCGGTGCCGGCCCTTTTCCAGCACCACGCTCACGCCGAGCTGCCCGGGAAGCACTGCCGCCGCCGCAAAGCCCGCACCGTGTTCTCCGACTCGCAGCTCTCCGGCCTGGAGAAGCGCTTTGAGATCCAGCGCTACCTCTCCACGCCCGAGCGGGTGGAGCTGGCCACGGCCCTCAGCCTCTCCGAGACCCAGGTACGGGGAGGGGGGACTGGAGCCGGCACCTGTGCCCACCTCTCATCCCCAGGAGCATCCCCGCATCCCACAGAGCATCCCCGCATCCTCAGGAGCATCCTAAGACCCCGAAGAGCATCCCCGCATCCTCAGGAGCATCTCCAGGGGCATCCCCACATCCCCGCGGAGCATCCCCGCATCCTCAGAAGCATCCCTGCATCCCTAAAAGCATCCCCTACACCCCGAGGAGTATCCCCAGATCCCGCGGAGCGTCCCCACATCCCCAGGAGCATCCCCACATCCTCAGAAGCATCCCCAGGAGCATACCCCATATCTCGTGGAGAATCCCCACATCCCCAGGATCATCCCCACATCCTCAAGAGCATCCTCACATCCCCAGGAGCATCCCCATATCCCCAGGATCACTTCCAGTATCCCCGGATCCCCTCCAGCATCCTCCGAATCCCATTTCCCTCCTGAATCCCCACATCCCATCCACTGAGAATCCCCGATATCGCTCCCAGCATCCCCACATCCCCTCCAACATCCCCACATCCAYCCCATCCGTCATCCTTACCCTTTGAATTTTTATGATTTTTTTTTCCCTCTCCTTTTTTCAATCCTTCTCCTCCTTTCCCTCCTCTCCGCAGGTGAAAACCTGGTTCCAGAACCGCCGCATGAAGCACAAAAAGCAGCTGCGGAAGACGCAGGACGACCCGAAGCAGGCGGGAGGGGAGGAGAGCGGCGAGCAAAGCTCCCCCGAGCCCGAGCTGCCCGAGCCGGCTGGCGCCGAGCCCCGCAAGGGTCCCCCCGGCCCTTTCCTGCTGCAGGAGCCCGAGGATGAGGTGGACATCCTGGAGGACGGGGATATCTGCTCCGGGCCGCACCGCCTCTAGGAGAASCGGGGCTCCTCTGCCGCTCCTCGGCCCCGCAGCTCGGCCCCGCCTGGGGAGGGGGCACGGCTTGGGATCGGGGTGTGGATGAGGGGGAGCCCCCTCCCCTCCTCGGGGACCCCGCGGTGCCGCCGCTGCCCCCCAGCATCGCCCAAATCCTGGGCTCTGCTCGCAAATCTGCGGGGAGAATAAAAACGAGCTCAGTTCCCTTTAGGTTCCCCCTTCGAATTTCGCAAATCTGCGGGGAGAACAAAACGAGCTGAGTTTCCTTTAGGTTCCCCTTTCCCTTCGAATTATCGGACTTTTCCTCGTTCCCCGAACTTTTTTTTCCTCGGGTTTCCAATAAATGTACCCTCGTGGCAGAGTGTTGTGGTTCCTGGGAGCGGCAGGCGGGGCGAGTTCCCCCCGCTCTTCCCCGATCCCCCAAATCCTCGCCGCTCTTTCCGCTCTCGCCGTCTCCATCCCCAGCCAGGCAGGTCGGACAGAGCTTCCGAGATACCCATAAATAAAAAGAATTGTAAGAAAAACCYTCCGAAGAAACAGGTAAGACAAAAATTCCGGTTTATTAAATCCCGATTTATTTAATCCCGATATGGGGAAGGGGGAGCATCGCCAATATCTCGATCGGAGCAAATGCGCTCGCAGCCAGAAAAAAAAATGGGATTTTTACAGCTCGGAGAAGTGTCGGCAGCCTGATTCCTGCCCTTTTCCAGTTGTAGATCCCCGATAATTCCATTTTCCTCTGAAATAGCCCCAGTCCCGCGTTTGGCTCCTGCTCCCCGCCTGCATCTCCCCCGTCCCCTGCGCTCCGCGTCGCGCTCAGCCCGAGCAGCCCCCGGCTCGCTTTGCCTTTTTCTTCCTACCMGGGCAATGGGGTTAATTTCCAGGTAAATTCCAGATTTTTATAATTTATTTCGGGTTTTTTTTCCTTATTCTGGGCTGAGCTGGCGGCTGGGAAACGCTCCGAGAGCGCGGCGGAGGCTCCGCARCTCCGGGGAGGAGATGTTGGGATCGGGATTGAGAATTTCCTCAATTTTCCTCGGTAAAAACCCGGAGCGGGGGCTGTGCTGGCTCAGATATTCCCCGGGCAGCCCCGAGCAGCGTCTCCTTAAGATATTTAATTTATTTCTTTATTTTTTTGAGTTTTAATCGGGAATTTCATTCGCTTGTCCGGCGTTCTTAGCACTTTCAGGGCATTTTGGATTATGGGACATGTTGTTTTGTGAGGGGAAAAACGTTTGATTTTCCTGTTTAATATATAAAATATAGATGATGGAAATGTGTGCCTTTGCTTCATTTTTGTGAGTTTCTTTTTATGTTTTTTTGCACTTAAAATAAAGATCACACATCGTGTGTAGAGGAAAAACCCCAAAATCAATCAAGGAAAAGCTGCTCATCTTTAACAAATCCTTCCAAGACAATAATTTCCACCAACAAAATGTCACCCACCTCCTCAAAAATTAGGATTTAGAAGGCAAACCAACCACTTTCCTCCTGAAATCTCAGTGTTTTGAAGCAGAACSGGCTGGAAATTCTGCTCCCAGCTCAGGGGGTTTTCTCTTTTCCCCCACTCCCCTGGGCAGGGATGTGATGGAAGCTGGAAAATCTGGAAATTTGACATTTTTTTTGTGTCTCCCACCGAGTATTTTGCTGTGTGCTCGTTGTCAGTTCCTCCTGAGCACGAATTTAACCAGGAATTATTAAAAATGATATCAAAGAGAAGCTTTAATGGTATTTATGGGATGTTGTTCTATTTTTTTTACTGTTYRCAGGGTTGGGGGCTGGCCTGGCTCTGCTCTGGGGGTCAGCGATGTCCCAAATCCGGGAGAAAATGTCCAAATATGATTCAAAGAACTCTCAAATCTCTGCTGTTTCTCCATGAACTCCCTTCCCAAAGCGTTTGTACTGATCAATAAAACAAACCCCACAACCACCTTCACCTCTGGGCGGTTTCCAGGCACCTTGGCTGATAATTAAAGCTACAAATCCTATAAAAAAMCCCAAACAGCGATCCCACCGTGACAAAAACAGGCAGGAGGGGAACTTCCCAATCCCAGAGATGCTCTGGAGACCACTGAGTCCTAAAGGTAACAGGAAAATTTTTTGGAACAGGCTGCTCATCCCACAAATTTTGGTGCAAAAACCCCAAAAATTGAGACAGATGAAAGGAACAGCCCCTGCCAGAGAAATTCCCAATGTCTGCTCCTTTCCAGCTGGGAGCAACCCCTGCCAGGCTGGGATGGAAAAGAATAATTTCCAACCAGTCTGAAAAATGTTTTGGGAAGAGATTATTGGAGAATGGAGCGGTACTGGGAAAAAGGAAGGGCTAGGAAGATGCTTTTTTTTAGGGTTTTTTTTTGTTTGTTTTTTGTTTTTTAAAAAATTTTCTTTTTGTTTCTATCGGAGATTTTTGGAATCAATGAAATGAGTTTTTATTCCTAAATTCTGAGTTATTCCATGACAGCAGTTGTCTTTTTACTGCTCTTCCCAAGAAACTTGAGGAACAAAGATTTAGAGCTGCTCTCCCTGAAAAAGAAAAAAAAGAAAAATATTTAATGTGTTCATTTAGGAAATGCTGGAGTGGAATTGGTGTGCAGGAAATAATTGCTGGGAATAGGAAATGCTGGCGGATTTCCTATTTTCTGAGAAGATTGATTTTCATTAAAATTCTTCAGTGAGGTTTTTTTTTTTTTTTAATTGTTTTCTGGTGATTAATTTAACACCTAAGTGGTGATTTTTTTCCTGTTTTCATTACAGAAAATAAATTAAAAAAAAAATCTATAAAATCCTGCCATGAACCTTTGCTTTCTGGTTTGATTTTGAGCATTTTCCAGCGTGCTGCCTCCAACATTTTTAACTTTTATATGTCARAAAGGCAGCTCCAACCCCAAATTTTTTCATTCTCTAACCAGAGCTCCATAAAAGCAGATCATTTATGGGTTTTTGGGCAGTTACAGAGCAAACAATTTGCAATTTCTTGCTGTCACACACACGTGGAAGGTGAAAATAACCCAGGCCAAGCCCAGCACTGACCTGGCCGTGCTGTAAAATCCTTTCCTGCAGTTCCTCTCGTGGTTTTTCTCTGCTGACCGATGGATTCAGTGCATTTTTTGATCACTGATGYTCTGAACTGAAGCTCCTGCAGGTTGAGGAGTTTTTCCTCTCTTCCAGTCCCCAAAACAAACAACATCACCTTAATTACTGCAAATTCCTCCTTGGATGGTCCTCCTTGGGTTAAAAATTGGTTGATTTTTGTCTTGGATTTATTTTTTGAAGCATTTAGTGACTGCAGGACTTGGGCAAAACCTGGTGTGGTTTCAATCCTCCCCTACTTTTTTAGAGCTGAATGATGGTTTTGAGGTTTTCCTTTATTTGAAATTTTAGACTGATAAGTATCAATGTTTTTGTGGGGTTCAGCAGCCTTTTGTGAGGTGCTAGGAAGCAAAATTTGGTTATTTTTGGAAAAAACACAACGGGGATGTATTGYAGCAATATTTTGTAGGTAGAATTGACCCCGAATCTTTTCCCACTGCAGGTGGTTTCAGCTTCAACTCTTTCAGAACCTCAAATATTAAGAAATTATGGCTCTGGAGAGGTTTTACCATGAAAATATTGGGAATTTCCACGGGATGRTGCACACAGACACCTCCCTGTGCTCAGGGACACCACGGCACCATGGCAGGTTCTGCTCCCACTCAACCCCTCCCTCAAAAATTCAACTTTCAATTAATTCAACATCCAAAGACATTCCTTATTTAAATATTTCCAGTTCCTAATTCAAAAGAAATTCAATTTTGGCCTTTGCTTTTAAGCACTTGGATGTTCATCTTTTCCTTGTGTGGTCCCCTTTTTGTGGCACCTCATCTATGAGGGGCAGGGAAAATCTGAATTAGGATTGAGGTAGATCTGAAGATTTTTTTTAATGTAATAATAACTTTTTCTGGCACTAATAATCTCATTTTTTTTTCTGGGATTTAAAAACCCCAAAACACCAAGACAAACAGACATTTCCAAATGGTTTGTGAGTGTTGATCAAAAATCCATCCCTGCCCCAGATGCAAATTTATAAATCTCCAAGTTCAGCATTTAAATATTTCCTAAAAAAATCATGTTTAAATTTAAAAAAAAGCCCCAAATGGGCACAAAACACCCCAGAAATCCCTTTAATTCATAGGAGGAGGATGCCAGTCAGGGAGGAAGGTGATCAATTAAGACATTAAGCATTTTGCAGCACATGGACACATCTGCATGGCAGCCAAATAATGCAGCCATCAGCTCATTTTCAGGGGGCTGTTGCCTACTTCAACTCAATCCTCAGATCAAAGAGAACATGTCTGCTCGCATTTTCTAATCAGAAAAGGGATGCTAATTTAGGTTCCTTAATGTGTGGTGATAAGAGACTTCTTCAATTAACTGAATTCTATAGGCCAGAAAATAAAAAAAAAATAGGGATACAAAGGGAGTCAGGCTGGAAAGGCAGAAGTTCTCATTAAATCAAAGGTCCAATATTCATTACCTCCAGCATCTGGGGCTAAACACTAAACATGGAGATCATCAAAGGGGGGTTTAATGGGTTAAATTGAGAATATAATCGAATTAAAATATTAGATACGAGTAAATAGCTCTTTGATATTCATCTGAAGGTTTCATTAAAACRGGCACTCGAGGTTTGCAGGAAGGGGGGATTATCACTTTGGACAAACAAGTTGAGGTGGCCTGATCAGAAATGCTTCAAAGTSGTGCTGTTTGGTTTGGAAAATTTATTGAAAAATAAATTCAACCATTTCCTCAGCCTGGCTGTGCCCAAAGGAGAGGGGGAAGAGGCTGAGGAAGAGGAAGGTGCTGTTCCAGAAGATGGAATTGGGTGCTGGAATCGACACAAAYGTGATGGAAACATTCCCCCTGCAGMCTGAGCCACGTTCCCACAGTGGGCAATGCTTCCTCCTCCAAGGCATCCCAGAATATTCTCAGGARTTCTCAATATTCCTGGAATGTCCTGAACTTGCAGCTGTCAATCCAAGAGGATGATTCAGGTTGGGGAGAGGGTCAGGAAGAGTTGAAAGGGGATCTCTTTTCCCCATATCAAGTGGGAGCCTCCCATAAAAAGAGACCCAATAAATGGGACAAAGCAATCCCACATCATCACAATTGTTATTTTTTTTTCCTTTTTCCTGCTTTCCAGGAGATTTTAGCTCAAATTCCCTTGCTGTGTGTTCTAATCACATTTCATGACTYAATTCATAATTTACCAAGTGAAAGAAATGGAAGCATCCTACGAAGCCCATCTGTTTGTTGTTATTTTTACAGAGTTAATCTGTTCAAAGCTCYTTCCTCTCAAACATGCAGCTCTCAATTATCCTGAGTTACCCAATACATTTTCCAACTGCTCCTGGCTAATCACAGATTGTCTGAATGCTCAGCCAGGACTTGTTTGGATTTTTTTTTGCCCCAGAAGCTTAAAATTTTGGGCTTGATGTGTTAACTCTTCATTAAGAGATAACAGATTAAATTAAATAATTAGCATTGTGTCATAACCAACTGCTGTGCTTGGTGCATAGTTTTGTTCTCTTTTTTAGTAGCAATGGATTATTTTTGRCTTTATTTCTGGCCAAAAAGTCTCCTGTGCAGTTCAGAAAGAGAAATATTGTTTGTGTTAAGATCATCAGATAAAACAAAGTTTATTTTGAATGTTTTGTAAAGGTGGTCACGTGTTTGATATGTTTAAAAATGATCCAGCCATGACAAGCAAAGAGCTGATTGGTCTGAAAGATGCAATTTTTGGATCATTTATTTAAAAAAAACAAAAACAAACCAACAGAGGAGCAGATTTAAAGTGCTATAAATGCAAATGGTTAATTTATTAAACAAAATAGGTACAGGAGAACTGACTCTAAAACTTAAAAGTGATTCAACTGAAGCCAACTGAAATTTCAACGGGCTGGGAAATCAATGTGTGRTGGTTCCAGCTCACAATAAAACAAYTCAGACATTTCTGCCTTGAAGAGATCCCTAAGATATCCCCAATACCTATARGATATGAAGGGCTTTGAAAGCAGCCACAACTTCCTTCTCCTTCTCGTGTCTGTTCCACAGCGTTTCCAGGGATGGGATTTGGGGTAAACTGGTTCCACTTTGAGCCTGGGGCAGAACCTTTTCCTCTTTCACCTCTTGCTCTGGTTGTTTTGCAGTGAAAGTCTTTGGTCTTGGAATCTTCTTGGCATAATCCAGTGCCTAAAACAGGAAAAGTGATTATGAGAAAACCTGGCCAACGTTTCCAAGAATATTTAGGTGCATTGAGTGAGATTTCTCTGAATTGCTGATCCTGTTTCTGGCAGAATTCAATCCCAGATTCTTCAGTGGTGTCTGCAAAATAACCCAGCTCAAGATTTGCCTCCTGTCACCACAGGAGCCACCTTAAACACTCAAGAATTGCTTTTATTTTAATAAAGGAAGAGCAGCATGAGTCTATTAAGTTTATAAATATTTTTCCCACTCTCGTTAAACTCTTGTCCTCATGCAGGGAGTTTTGCAGGTTGACGAGCTTAGGGTCGACTGCATGATGGACTGAAATATCAAAATGAAAAAACAAAATGATGCCTGGAGCCTGGGTGACTTGGACAGGGAATGGACACAGAATCACAGAAATCCTGGARCTGACCAAGCCCTGCTTTAGCTGGGATGGGGTTTGGTGCATGGATTTGGAAACACCTCTAAAGTCACCAGGGGAAATTTTATTATCTCGTCTTCTTGATGGAAGAGTGGCTGGGAAATCTCCTAAAAGAATCCAAACCCCTTTTGACACACAGTTTTTTTTCTCCTCATGGTTTATATTTGGGACTAAATACAAGGAACTGAGGAATTCTGATATTAAACTTCACAACTTTGCGCCCATAAGTCACCTTGCAAAAATACCCATGAAAGGGACCCAGTTCTTACCTTCTGCCTGGACACTGAAGGTACCTGRAGTTTCATGGGTGACCTCTGCATCACAGTAATATTTTTCATGTTATATTCCTTAATTTGCTGGGAATATTCCTTTTGCAGCTTTACCTTCTGTTTCTGAGAAAACCAGAAAAGAGCACGGAATGAAATCTCAGCGGATCTATCAATGAAACCTTTTCCCCACCAATATTCCACTTTTCCATTTCCACTGCTGTTCACCTGCATTTGCCATTGTCCCTTCCTCCGAGCACAACAGGAACCCCTGAGAAATGGCACCGCTTTTTTTTAGCTGATTTTACCTTTTAAGAGCTTTTCCTCTGCAGAGGACAGAGCTCAGCAGAAATGTGAAAGGTACTTCTTTATTCTGAATGTCCTGAACAATCTGTCTCCATTTCACCAGAGTGCCTCCAGCTATTTTTTCAGGTTTGTACAAAATTTTTACATCTATTTTTTTGGGTTTGTACAAAATTTTTATGGCTACTTTTTCAGGTTAGTACAAAATTTTTACACTACTTTATCAGGTTTGTACAAAATTTTTACAGCTATTTTTTTGGGTTTGCACAAAATTTTTACTTCCACTTTACAATTTGGTGGACCTTTACACCGGGAATGACAACCCAGCAATGAGTGTGCAATTTCTGATCCTGTTTCTGGATTAAAAAAATTAAAATGGGTTAAAATGATCCAAAAATACTGCTGATTTTCCTTCAATTTGAATTTTCCTGTAGGATCTCAAGCTAGCCAAGGATATAAAACACCAGACAATTGTAAATTGTTTTTCAGCAGTGATTTCTCTGCCTAAATTCACTTTTGGGTCACTCACTTTCTCTTTGATTGCTTCATAGTCAGGTCCAAGGCCCCCAAGCTTCATATTCACATTGATGTAGAATTTCGAGCTGCACAGCTGAAAAACAAACAGATTTTTCTTAAAATTATTTCAGAGAAAGAAAAGTTACAGAAAGTTTTGCAGTGGAAACCCCAGGATTTAATTTGCAATCTTACCCCTGGCACGTTTAATTTTAAATAAGTAAAATTATTATTTTAAATAATAACAGGACTGAGTTAATTGCCCAAGTCACAGAATTTCCTTTGGATCTAGGTGGGAAATTACCAATTATCCAAAGCACAAAGTGATATTTTCTCAGTCRAAAATGACCTTTTGTGAGCTTTATTTTGAAACCCATTTGACTGTGATTAGAACAAGGSTCCAAAGAACTGCTGTAAGAGGAGMAGATRAAAAATAYCTGATTTTGGTGGTAAAAAATTAAGCAAATGATGGTAGTGATAGYAACCTTTCCTTGCTTTCAAGCTGCACTGGAAAATTGTCCACAAACAACAGAAAAATCCATGGTTTTCATCACAGCAAAAGCTTTACAGTGATGGGTGATGTTATTTCAAGACTTCAGGACATTACAGAAAGACCCCCATGTCTCCATAATATTATTATTTTCTTTCAAGGCCACTGGAATATTTTTCGAAGTGAATTGTTTTAAAAACTTGTCATTATGATCAGCTCTGTAGCAATTTTGATCACAGAATACAACACTAAGATATTTCTATTTGAAAATAAAACATTCTTCAAAACACGGGTTCAAGTTAAACTCAACTGCAGAGAAATGAATTCTATTCACTGAACTTCCTCTTTGAGATTTCTTTTTGTCACCTATCCCTATTTTTACATGATATAACTCATTAATTTTTAATTTTAGCTACAGTGAGGAATTAATTTCGCTGTCTCCCACAAAACCAGGCTTTTCTCACTTCTTGCAATGAGCCTGAGTGCATTTGTTTGTTGGGAAAAAAACGGGATTTTTCTGGGAGACACAAACAGATTCTCTGTGCATTCCCCACTGATGAAGCGTGAGAAAAATGCTGAAAATACAGGACAAGAAACAATGGTTTGAACAGCAAAGCATGGAAATTTATCCTTCAGTTCCTATCATAATCCTGCTAATTCTTCTTAGGGGCACTCAGGCAGCAGTGCCCAAACTGCAGATGAAACACAGGAATAATTATTGCAGCTTAGTTTGTCTGCCCTGAGACTCAGAGCAAACTTCTTAAACATTTAATTGGTCCTGGAGCAAACTTCTTAAACATTTAATTGGTCCTGGAGCAAACTTCTTAAACATTTAATTTGTCCTGGAGCAAACTTCTTAAACATTTAATTTGTCCTGGACACCCAGGGGCAGCTTTCTGCCGTTCCCCTGTAGCTGAGTTAAGTGGTCACACCAGGAAAGGGGACATGCAGAGGAGATAAAGGGAGCAAGGTTTTAATAAGGACCCAAATGGGATCATCAGGAGGCTCAGAATCACGTTTAGGCCGTTAGGTTTACAAATCCTCCAAGTTTGGGGTCAGAATCCTTTGGAAAGGAGGAGATTTGAGCTGGACAGCAAAGGAGCGTGACCAGGATTGCTCAGATCTGAGGCCAGGCTGCCTGCTGCTCCACACAAACAGCCTGATCCCAAATAATTGTATCTGTGGAGAGCTGAAAGGACAAACACTGCTCTGTGTGTCCCTGGAGATAATCAGGACTGACCCCAAAGAGYTGGAGGATCCTTTTGCTTTTTGGACTAAAATGATTGCAGGGTCTGTTTCGACCTTTGTCCCGTGATTTTGGATGTTCTGCTGTGTGTCCATGAGACTTTAATAACAATTAAATATTTCTCAGTCCCCCTTACTTTTCTCCCTTTTAAATAACTTTGAATTATTAACAAATAATGTTAATCAGAGGGGGAATAGAAATGTTGAACCACACCACTCACATCTGTTCTTACCTTCTTGCTGCCTTTGGGTTGGTTTTGCTTTTCCATTTGCAGGACGGATCCTTCCGAGCTGCTTCGCCTCATTTTCCCAGGATTTCCCTCAGCTCCTCCTGGATATCCCTGGGATCCCCCCTGCAGCTGGGACAGGCCAGGGGGCAGCAAACTCCAAATCCATTTATCAGTAAAATCCTCTCCCCTCAAACCAGAGCTCCGTGCCACGTAACGCTCGGGCAGTTCTGGACATTCGGAGGTTCCACAGGAGGCTGTGGGTGAGCTGTGAACAAAACATGCAAAAGGTGCTAAAAAGTGAGGGGGAAAGAGTAAAAATGTTCATTTACACACAGCAGGGAGATCAACAAACAACCTGGACACGGAATATGGGAGCGGGGAGGTGGAAGGATGGSGATTTTACAGTGAATGACTTTGCTTGCACCCAAATGTACAAAAAGAAATGGAAAATAAACAAGAAATAAGGACACTTTCAGCCTGATGTGAAGGTAGCTGRAGCCAATGAAAGCTGTCTGCAAATGGCTTTGGATCAGGCCTGCTGAGCACTGAAAGAATCATTGTTTGTGTGGAATAAAACCTTCAGTTTTTGAATCAAGGCAGGTGCAATTCTACATAAAGTGAGGATTTTCCTGCTCTCCCCCTTCAGGGAGTCAGGATTGGCACTGGGCTGGCCCTAACTATCCACTCTGCAAAGCCAGTTTTGCTACAAACTCTTAATTTATGCACRATGCTCTTTCCCATCTACATTTTAAACTTTTTCTTCCAGCTTTCCAGAAGGAAACTTTCAATTGCAGCAAATTCCATGCCAGGAGGACAGACCCGTCCTTTTCCAACGTAATATTTAAAAATCAACAGTTATAATAAATCTTAAATCAGTAATAAATTATAATGGCAGATTTGTAGCAAAATAACCTCATACTTTGGACTTTTCAGCATTTTCTTGTCCATTTATTTATTTTCTGGGCATCACAGGGTTATGATAGTACCATTTTATCACTTATATTCTTACCACAAATTGTTCTGATACCTGTTATCCTCATGAATATGATTTTTAAAATCTTGAAGCGATGCTGGATCCTTCACCCTTTCTTCAAAACCACCATTAAAATAAGATGAAAGATTCCTCAGGTTTGGATGTGCCTGACCACCAGTGCTGACATCCCTGGAAAAATTCTGCCCAGGGAAGTGGTTGGTGAAATATTGCTGCTCATGTGGAATTCCGTATGRAGAATCCTGCTGGTAATTCCAGCTCTCCTTGCTGGGATACACCGAGTACAAAACCTCAGCTGGGTTAAAATTGGGGAATATTGGGGGCAAAGGACAGGTGGATGTGGGAGTTGAAGTTGGGAGATTATTTAAGCCAGGTTTGGGTTTTTCTGTTGGGTCAGGGCTGATGGTAGAACCTGGATTCAGAYATTCCTGCAGAGCTCTGCTGCTGTCCTGCTCTGCTGAAGTGGGAGCAGCCTGAAATCCTGGGATTTGCAGGTGATGAGAAGACTTTGGTTCTGCTGCTCTTCCTGAGGGTTGTTGGCCATCATTCCTTGGAAATGCTCTCTCATTGAGAGTCTGGTTGGATTCTGTTTTATTTCTCTGGGAGATCTTGTGCTGCTCCTGAAACAAATTACCAAAAGCTGGGTGAATTTCAGTGGTTGATATTTTRGATTTTCATTAAGAAATGTCATTACACCCATCAAAATCCCTCTGTGCTGCTTGKATCTAACCCTACTCATGGCTGGACTTAACCCAAAATTCAATTTGTAGGAACCTTCAATCCAGAACAAAATGCCAGGTGTTATTCAGGTGCTGCACCATAAATAATTTTGCATCAAAACTTTGCTTAATGCACTATAAAATAAATTCTGCATGATAAAAACAGGTCCTTTCAGATGTATAAGGGAATTTTTCCTGCGTGAAGTGCAAAAATAAATGCACAGGACTACCCRTGTCTAACCCTGTGGATRAGTGGTAACTCSCTGTTAACCATCTGGAGAAAATRTTTCAAAAATCAAAGCAGTTTTTGYTTTTTATGTACCAAATTTCATGGAAAAAATGGCTTTGTACACACTGTTAGTGCAGAAAGAGATTGATGTCAGTTATAAAAATGAATTTATTTCTAAACCAAGCACTCYTCCCTGCAAAACAGAATTCAGATGATAAAAATTCAAGAATTTAAGCACACCAGGACTGTTGTTAAGAGAACCAAACTGCCACATTCTAAATCCAGATTTATTTAAGATTTATCCTTTTCCACTTACACGTGTTGCCCACCTGGATAAAAGACTCGAATTTCCTTGGAATACCCCAAATCCATTTCCAGCCCATTTAATGTCTGTCACCCTCCCGTGTCTCTGGGGTTCTTTTGTGAGCAGCACGTGGCAAATGCACTCAGAGAGACGGTTCCATGGCAGGTGTGGAATCCACACAATTCCTGCAGGTTTTGGGGAAAGCTTTAGCCCTGGGAATCCTGGCTCCTGGAGCTTCAGGTCGTGGCAGAGTGGTGGAAAACCAATTTATCATTCGTTGGTGATGAAAATTAAAAATTAAGAAGAAGCCCTGCCTAAATTTTCTACTAAAAATATCTGACAAAACTGCTCTGATCCCATACTGAAATAATTCATAATTCATTTGGCCATAGCAGGATATTTGCTTGCACACTGAAATAATGCAGAATTTGTACAACTTATGCAGAAATAATTCAGTGTTTGTTTGTGGCAGGAGCCAAGCTGGGAGCAGGCCAATGTTTTCCCATTTAAACAATGAAATGAATAAATAAATATCTCCTTCATTGTGGAATTTCATGCAGAAAGCAAATCTCTCCTGATGGACAGCARCATAAAATCCTGTTTGTACTTTACAGCAGTGCAGCTCCCAGTCTTTATCACAGAATTTAAACAGTTTCTGAACCACTTTAAATACCTGTTGTACACAGAGAGTAACTGAGTTTGCCAATAAAAATCCCAGTCTTTGTTTTTTTATCAGTGGTGATTACCTGGTCCCTTCATTGCTCCAAAGACTGAACCATTSCATTGGTTTAAAGGCCAGCAAAAAACAGATTTACAGATTTAGGAGTGTGGAGAAAGTGAGGGCATCTTCTGCTTGAAACATTTTCTGTTTTGTGGTAATTAATTAATTCTCCCTTAATTTTAGGGGCCAAATAAGGAAGTTCTGGTTCAGAATCCTCACAAGCCATCAAACACGACCATGAACTGGTTTATATTTTTACATTATCAACCAAATAATCTCCTCAACAGATAATAACAGATTCTGTAAGCCCAGAATTCTTTGGCATTTTGCTTTAAAAATCTTCAGTCCATAAAGCACGCATGCATTAAATCACAGTGATTATCTGATACATATTTAAGGATTTCCTGTCAGTGATCAGTACTTTAAAAGCAACAAGATGTCAGCTTTAAACATTCAAACTCAGTGCTTTTCCAGCTATATTTTAGCTATTAAATTCTATTGAAAAGGCACCTTGAGCTGCTGTCCTTTTGGGTACCATTTGTCTTCAGGCTTCGGTGTCCCAGTCTGGAGTGGTGGGATATTTTGGGGTGGTTCTTCCTCAACTGGTGCAGGATCTGTAACCTAAAATCCAAAAACGTTTACAGCCACAGCACAACCAAATGAAATGAATGAAAAGTCTTAAAAAGGGGAAATGATGAGAAATAATTTAAAATTGAAATGCTGAAGTTTGGGACAACAAAAAAAAGAAATGGTTAAAAGAGAAAAAGAAACAAAACCCAATTAACAGCTGGGAGGGAGTATTATTTCTATTTTTAAGAAGAAGAAAGGAAAGGAAAATTGCAGGAAGTGTGCAGCACTGAAACCTTCTTGTAACTCTCAAATGCCTGGGCTCCTCCATTTCTATGAGAGCCACTGGATGCAGCTAATAACAGAAAAACAGCCAGAAACCATCCCTGGCCAGGCAATCACACACATCCCGGGCCTGAAGAAGAGAGCCCTGCAGGAAAAGCTGGCAAAACACAGTAATGGGGGTGAAAAGTCCAAGGAGTAGCTGCAGAAATAGAGCATGGAATACACAGAGCTGGGCAAAACAGGCTCACAAACAAGATCTTCATGTGGCCACAGCTGGGGGAAAACCACTGCTGGAAATTTCATTGGAGCAARATTTTAGGGGAATGCACAAAAGCCAAGTGATACCTTTGTAAATACAGCAATAATTACATTTTTTCTTGAAATCAACTGGTTTTTAAATCTATAAAACTGCAGAAAACCCACTTTTAATTTTGTTTTTTAYTGATATTTGTTGTCCCAAACTATCCTGCTGAGTATTTTAGCAGGTGTGACTTGCAGGGGACGTGTTGGGAAGTGCCCCTCTGATACAGGAACCTCTGCTCCACTGCAGGATGGTCCCACAGGAAAACCTGCTCTGAGAAAATATTTGTGACCACGATAATCACAAATTGAAAATCATCAGTGGGAAGAAAATGTGGGAAGCTGAGCCTCTCATTTTTTGGGGTAAAGGATTAGGACAGCTCAGAAAAGGYGGGGAGGGTTTATTGCTGAGTTTAGGGGTGATCTCATGGCTCCAAATTCAAGGCGGATCCCATTAGCAGTGACAGGAAAAATTCACAAGAAAATTAAAAAATACCACGGAGGTTTTCTGAGCTGTGGACAGGCACAGCTTTGCAGTGAATAAGATGTTTTTGGTGGAACCAACTGACTGAGTGCATTGATGGAGTGCTGGGCAGGTAAAACATACTTCTACATTATCTCTTTGAAAGAGGAACAGGACACAACCTCTGCCAGCATTATTTTTTTTTTTTTTTTGGCGAACCATTCTATTAATACCAATCAAATTGAGAAAATGATCAAATGAAATTGCATTTTGAGAATCATAAGCTGTGTAATGCCTATTCTGTTAAATTGAGGCCCGTAATTGCTTCTCTACTGAAAAGATACAACAAAGACAGCAATCATGGCATGTCATTATCCCAGACTGGCAAACCAGCCTTTGCAGGGAGGACTTCAAAGGCTCCTGGTTCTCGAATTGCATTTGGCTGCTATTGTTGAAGCCCAGGCAATCTCGATGAGGTGTTTACACCGAGGTAAGGCTCGRTGCACTGAGAGTCTGAGTGCCTGGGTCTAGAGCCATTAAAAAATTGTACATTATGTTCCTGGCTTTGAAGTAAGGGGCTTGGAGGTAGGAAAGCAACTCAGACCGAGCACAGCTGAGCTAGATTGGGCCACTGCTTCTCTTTTTGCCTGGCTCTCTGTCTCTCAAAGAAACTCATCATCGGGTTCTTTAAGAATCAGGCAACACTGCAAAGAACTTGATGCTGTATAAAGCGCTGTGTAAATTAGGAAATACACAGATCAGCACGGGTTTAGGGGGTGTTTTGGTACATGCAGCACAGAGGGAACAGCTGTAAATCCTGCTGGAGGAGGCTGGAAATATTTTAACCAGTGTTATGTCAGCTGTGCACAAACTCCTGCCTTCGGTGTAAACACTGTTTTATCAGCACAGCTCCTGCAGCCAGCAGTGATCAGATCAATAAATMCAGCTTCAACCCCCTGAAAAGCTCAAAATAATGCAGTTTAGGCAAGCACAAGATGTGGCTTTATCACTTTGGATTCAGCTTCCCAGGTGAGCTGACCAAAGTTGGCTCCTGGAGCAAGAGGATACTTCTTCAGGCCTTTTTACCCCCCCAACAAGACTGAGCCATGGACACCTTGGTTAAGCATAAATCAATATTTTTTCCTGTCCTGCAGCAAAGCCAAAGGTGGCTGGCAGCAGGTGGGGATGCTGCTCAGGAATCACAGAAATGTGGGTTCATTGGGTAGGAARRGACCTTAAAGCTCATCTTGTTCCAYCCCCTGCCRTGGCTGGGGACACCTTCCACTGTCCCAGGGTGCTCCAAGCCTTGTCCCGGGACACTTCCAGAGATGGGAAGCCCACAACTCCCCTGGACAATCTGCATTTTCAGCAGTGTGAACTCATCTAGGTTAGAACAGACCTTCCCACACAGCTGCTCCTGCTCTGTCCCAGCTCTGCTGTCCCCACGGTCACTTTAGCAGGACAATCTTATCTCCCAGCCCTGATTTTAACAGATTCCTTTGCCTATTCCAATTTTTGAACAGTGTGTACACAATGAAGCCCTGATCCCTGGCTCCAGCACATAGATAGGAAAGATTTCCAGAATTCCCTAAATAGCAAATATAATCATATCAACACAGCTCTAATTAGCATCCATCTACACTCATTATTTTTACCATCATCCAAATTAGAACTGAAAAAAACAAGTGCTCTTAATAGCTCTGCTAGGAAAAAAAAACTTGTCCATCATTCCTGGTGCTGGAATGTTGTCAGAACATCCCTCTAACGTGGTGTCAACTCTTCATTAGCCTGGCAGAGGTGTCACTTGAAGCACAAAGTCCCTGGAGCTTTCCAAGGTGAGCATTTTCTGTGTGGAGACATTCAGTGACCCTCCTCCTTCCCATTATGCATAAKAAGTAGCAAGGAAAAGCAATAAACTCGTTTATAATGGTTCATTAGGAACTGTAATTACATTTCCACTTGAACCTCCCCAYGAGTTGGCTGACACTCTGCAGTCAGTCAGGACTTCAGGCACAAGGCCTGATGTGTCCAGTATCAAATTTGGTCTGGGATTTTGACAGGCTTCAGCCATCAGCCATGGAAATCTCCTGGAGTTCAAGGCCAAGCACAGAGCAGAGAAGGTCACAGAG